ACACGGATGCACGCGATGCTGGGCCGGCGCGGCTTTATTAAGTGATTACTCTCATTAGGTCGCACGCGATATTCTTTGTGAGCCCCACTCTCGGCGGGACTTGTGTGCACACACGCGGATGGCTATCGATTTATTTCCCTCGTTAATTGAAACCGTATACCTACTCGAGGATCATTTTTTATTTATTTTTTTTTCATTTACATCTTGCATTTTGTGTACCTGTATAAATATATGTATATACCCTCTTGGTTCTCGATTACCATTGTCTCCCTCTGCGCCAGTTATTGTGTATCAGCCACGATTCGGTACTTTTACGCTAATACACGATCGGGCGTTTGTTGCATTACACTCGTAAGATCCTTTTATTTCTCGCGAGTAAAAAGTTATACCTATAAATGATATAAATACATGCAAGCGGTATACATGAGCGAGAGCCCCGGGGATATCGGGTTACAATAATCGTAACAACTTTTAGTGCTAATCGACGCCTGTTGCCCGCTGGAATTCTCGTTTTGCTTCCTCTGCTCTTTTGGCTCGGCTCCTGGCTGCTGCTGCCCAATAAATCACTCCGCTTCAATTAAGTAATATATATCGGCAGAGCCGCAGCGCTCAAGAGAGAGAGAAGAAGCGCGGCCATTAAATTGTTTCTCGAGGAACAGAACGGGAGAGCGAGATGGGAGATGGGACATGACATTACACGCAGCCCAGTCCGTCGATATACGTACCAGCAGGTCTGTTTTTTTTTTTTTTTTTTTTTGTGTCCTCGCTGCAGCACACACGTTACGCACTACTGGCCGCGGGATCCATAAATCAATTAATTTTAAGCTCGGGCGCGGATGAGGCGGCTGTTTCCTCGTCGATATACGTACTCTCCTCCCGAGTCTTGGCCGCTAATTTAAATTCTTTCGGGAGACAGTGGAGCAAAAGAGATTCCCTTTCTTTTGCGCCAAAGTTAACGGGGGGCTGGGGTGATGTGCAGAAAAACACAATGGGGGACTGGCTATGACGCGCGGTATGGGATGTGAAGGGGAGGCTATCCAGACGCCACCTCAAGTATTTTTCTGATCGGATTCCGAAAGATCCGTGGCTGGAGCCTCGTAAGAAATGAACATCGCGGATGCGGGCAGTGCGAGCAAAACGACGAGAGGGACGAGCAAGTTATTCGCTTATTAGAGGCGTGCGGAAATTTTAAACCCTCGATATGGTTCTTGATCGGGCCTGTGCTGGGCATTTTTGAGATTTATCATACGTATACGTAAACATTGATTGGACTCTGGAAATAATGAAAAAAAAAGTTGCGATTCGTAGTGAAAGGAATTGTTTATCTATCTTTGATTCATTTAGCCATTGTCCTTTATTCCATTCATTTAGATCTAATAGCATTCAAATCTCGATAAGCCAAACTTTGCTCGTTTCTCGTGATTCTCATTTAACTGTAAGTAGTCTAAGTGCTAGTATAGAGCAATTTCAAGAGTTTACCGCTGTTTAAGAAAGTGTTTGTATGCTAGGGAATTCTTATAACCAGGTGGTGGTTAATGACAGCAACAATTTATGCATCTTTCGTTTACCGACTGATAGTAGTGAACATCACTACTGTACCATCAGGTAATAAAAGGAGTCTGTAACGTTATGTATCTCTTGTAGGTACATATCAAGCAAAATCAAATTACTGGCAGATGATAATGCAGATGTTGTGCTTACCCAAGTATACATCATGAATTTTTTCTCAAAATGTGGCGCTGTTGTCAATCGAGTTCGATACGTTCATTATCCCTATAATATCGACTCCTCTTAATATTTTGTTGTGCATCGTTGATATATATAAACTTGTCACAAGGAAAATTTTTTTCAATGTACACATTCAACTTCATAAAATTTACAATTTGTAAATGCAAAAGTGAAGTTTTAAGTAAACGTTGAGAAAAATTTATCATTTTTTTATTTTTCTTAAAATTTAGTGTTCATTGATTTTGGTGATGTTTAAGGTTGGAGATAAGATCAAATAACAAGAGAAGTTTATTTTATTGATGGTCACATTTATTCCAGTCGACGCTTTATAAATAGTCAATTACAATATTTATAAATTATTACATTTTCCACAGAAACAAGTACCAAATTGTTCGAATTTCATACTTATTTCAATGTCCTGAGATGTGTTTGATTGGTAATAACGCGTTACACCAATGACAATGAAATTCTCGATTCTTATATTTTTGCGTATTATAATCCTGACAACGTAACTGAAACATTGACGTTTAACGCGTATAACGTTTTAAAACATATATATACAATGCCGAGCAAACTATAAAGTAAAAAAAAAAGAGAAAACAAACGAGGTGAAAACCACTCGAGTGACTCCCACCTTCACATAACACCGAATAGTAATATAAACAGTCTTGCGTTGGGCTTAGCAGGGGTGATCTTGCTAAAGTTCGCCCTTACGTCGACTTACGAAAATTTGAGCCTCTTTGCATAGTATTGAAGAGGCTCCGATTTCTTGGTCGATTTTTTTTTATTAGTTAAATAGTACTTCCTTCAAATGCTTCATTGTCAAGTTATTCAATAAATCAAACAAGTCTGGCATCAACAGGTATAAATTATAAGTTATGTGATGTAAAAAGAAAAAAAAAGAAAAAAAAAATTAACACATATGCGTAATATCGCGATCATCCCTTACCGTCAACACAGACACTCTCTCCTTTCTTAAAACATACACAATTAATATAATAAATAGTTTGCTATAGCTACGATTTCTTTTATTCTTTATAATTAATGGCTTTCGATTAGCGGTTACGATAACGATTACAATTTTACATAGGAGCGTTTAGAAGATTCACTTCGCGCCAATATCACATATATAACACACGTCATCTCAACTTTTTCTCGCATGCGTCAAACATCTTTTCCTCGTTATAATAATTTTTTTTTTCTGTTTCTATCTCAACTTTAACAATTTCCGTCTTTTCGAGCTTATAAAATTTTACCTCGTTCCTTTCTTCACTCAGACACCCTTTAATGCGTGCACAAAACAACGACAAATATTACAACGTGTTAAGTTTTTTTTTGTTTTGTTTTCTTTTTTCTGAAAAAAAAGACTGATTGGCAAAAATGTCATTCAAGGCACTTGAATGTTCGCCTCAGTTAAGACATGATTCTCTCCAACGCACGTGTACATGTATAAAATTTTCTTCAAAAGCTTCATCACACCGAAGGATATCGCCGCGTGTATCCCTTTGTGCATTTAAAAATTAAAAAAATACATTAGTTTATACTCGATATATTGAAAAAGACGTTAATTTATTAGAATATATATATATTTTTTTATATATTTATATACAGATGATACGATTATAATCGGTACGCAAAGTGTGTGCACGTGTGTAATTTTTCGAAAAAAAAAGATTAATTTCGTTGAATTTTTTTTAAATTTTCTACATATTTTCAATTGGGCTGTTAATAACAGACGTGACTAGGTTCCCATGATGGTTGGACGATGCAAACAAGATGGCCCAGAAAAAAAATTGTTACGAGCGCACACACGCACACTCACACTGCGCTAACACTTATGTGTGCAGTGTTCAGTATAGCTAATACACCTGTAGGCTTTTCGCGTATAATACTTGAAAACGTACGTCAATAAATCGATATATTTCATCACATGTTTTAAAAAAAATACATTTGTTCGAAACAACGCCTATGTTAACTTTTTCAGACACTGCACACATTGTACAGAATTCGTTGAAGTGAGGAAGACGCAGAGATGCGCGAGACGATGAAACATTTTTTTTTTTTTTTTTTTTTTTCCTAATTTTCTCGACAGTAAACGTGATTTTTGAAAGTTAAATAGCCAATGTGCACGAGACATCGAATGAGGCGCGTGAAATCATGCAGAGATCGATAGAAAGGCGATGTAGTAGAGTCGAATTTACAATGAAAATCGTGTGGATCGAAAACATTATTTTCAGATTCCTAAGGGATACGTGGCGGTGTTGGCAGCTAGTTGCGCATTTTTTTGTTTGTTTCTAACAATCTAACATGCTTTTTTCGTGGTAAATTTTACATCGTCCGATTATATATCTAAACTTTGTCGCTCGACAATTAGCGTTGAATGAATAAAAAGAAAAAAACCATCGACAGCAAACAAGAGAGAGATGTTCTAAAGCTCCTTATGCACTTGCTAAAGACGTAATTTATATAATTTACTTAAAAGCTACAAATTTTTCGCGATTACGTGTACAAAACCTTACGAATCGAGGGTGCTTTGTCTAAATTTCGTACGCTTGTCCAGCCGCGGGTGTGAGCCGTGTATATATTGTATACGCTAGTGACGTGATCGTACCGAAACAAGATCTACTACGAAAGATATTGGCTCTACGTGGTATTTACAAAATAACGTCGGTGTGTATACTTATTATGCGCTTATTGTGAGGATAGCATGACGATGATGGTACGCGTGTGTGGGTTGCGTCATTTTTCATACACGGGAAAAATTTCATAACGATCGGCTCCTCTTTCTTACTTGGGTGTATACACAGGCTAATCATAAAGCATCATCGTCACCTTTGAGTTTTCGCGCGTCGGCCAAAGTAACAAGAGCAAAGGGGGGGGGGGGAAGGAAAAAAAGTTGCGTGTTGAGTCCCACCGGTTTAAGTAAACAGGACGGCGCTTAAGACGTATAAGCTCGATAAACTATAATGTATATGTATGTGATATAAGAAACGCCATACGTTGTACTATAACGTATTTATGCAACAATATATAAATATATATGTGTATGTATATGTACTCTTGTCCAGTTGCCGACGATCTGCACGTTACAGCGTACAATTTTTATATGCATATAGTTTCAATATTGTATATGTTGATTGATACTATATATATATATATATATATATATATATATATATATATATATATGTGTGTGTGTGTGTATATATATATATTATATATATATATATATATATATATACGTGTCTGTGTGTATGTACATGTATATAATATATATGTATCCATATGTAATGATAGCAATAGCAATAGTAGTAGTAGTAATAGAAATGTTAACAATAATTTATACAAAAAGTGAAGGAGCTAGTCCCGGGCCGAAGCGAGGCGCTGGAATCCTTATCACAGAATAATATTTAGCAAAATTGTCCTGCCCCACTCTTCGCGTCGTCGCCACATGGGTATGTGTATATAATATATGCGTACGCGTATAAGAGGTGAAGCGCGGGATTCCACTGTACCAAGCCCGAGAGCCCCGCCACGTGAATATACATGTACGTAGATTTGTATAGGAAGCAGGCGTGAACGATCCGTCGTATCGGCAGTTTGCACCACGTGGAAGGCCACTCTGTCTTTGGATGCACCCCGACTACTCCGGACCACCGCCGTACGCCTCCACCCCAACTGCCGGGGCCAGCCGAGCCAACCACGACTCGGTGCTCCCCCGTCTGATGTCTCTCCGTCGGCGGGCGCTGACCCAACGCTGACCACCTCACGGCGCGCCCGAGCCGCCCCCGTTACCCCCGACCTCACCGGCCGCCTTGCTCTGACGCAGCATACTCTGCAGGGTCGCCACCTCGCTGGCCAAACGGTCCAGCCGGCTCTTCACCTCCCGCTCGCTCTCTGGCGTGCCCACGACCACCACCCCGCTCGGGCCTGTCCACTCTGCCCCCAACGAGATCCCCGAGTCCCGCTCGTCGCTCGAGCCCGACTCGTTGTCCCAGGGCGGCGAGGCCCGTGGCGACGCCCTCGGCGCCGGCTCCTGCTTGATACCCTGGAGGGCCAGTAGGGCGCTGGCCGCGCTCGCGTCCTTGTCCTGGATGCGCGACTTGTGCCTCAGCTTGTGGGGCAGGCTGTTCCCGTTGACGCTGACCGCGGCGACGGCCGCAGCGGCGGCGCTGACGATGAGGGCCGCGGTGGGGCTGCCGGCCATCTGGACGCTCTCGTCGCCACTGCCCGAGGAGAGCTCGAAGGGAGATTGGGCGCGCCGGGCGGCGCGGGACGACAGGTTGAGGGCGCTCGAGGTGTCGAAGCCGTGGCCGATGGCGGGGTGGGTGAACGGGGGGTACTGGAAGCTCTCGGTCTCGGGGTAGGCGGTGGTCTCGGGGGCGTAGAGCTGGGCGGGTGAGCGGGGCGAGCGGGCCCTGGGTGCGTTGGCCGCGGAGCTGGCGCTGCTGATGGTCTGGTGGATGACTGAGGCGTGGACGGGTGGACTGGGGGTGCGGGCGTAGAGGAGGGCCGTGGAGGATTGGAGCTTGGCGCGCTTGACGAGGGTGGGCTCGGTTGGCATGACGGCGAGTACTTGCTCGGCGCTTATGACCGACTCGCCGCAGATGCCGTACTTTTCGCGGATGGCGTCCAACTGGGTCTTGAGGATGTGGTTCTCCTTGGTGAGCTCCATGACCCGTTGCTCGAGGACCATGTCGTTGAAGCGCCGCTTCTCGCGCGACCGTTTGGCCGCCTCGTTGTTTCGCCTGCGCCTGTCCCAGTAACTGTCGTCCTTCTTGTTGTCGGGGATGAACTCGCGCTGCTTGCGCTGCGAGAACAACTCCTTGCGCAACTGCTCGCTCGCGTAGTCCCGGCCGCTGGTGCTGCCGTTGCTGCTCGCGTTGCTACCGTTGCTGTTGCTACAATTGTTCACTATCGGGTAACTGTCCCCACTGCCCAACGATTGCTGCTGATGCTGCTGCTGCTGCTGCTGCTGCTGCTGTTGCTGTTGTTGGTGTTGCTGGTGTTGCTGTTGTTGTTGCTGGTGCTGTTGGTGGTGTAGGTGCTGGGGCTGGGGGTGGTGGATGGTTATGGGGCCTTGATGGTGGGACGGGTGTCCCATGGGCTGCATGGGGCCATGGGCCTCGTGGCCGTGGCCGGCGTGGGCCATCGTGTGGGATGCCGGCATCGCGCTACTGTTCAAACACGCCGTCTCACCATTTATGGGCGATCCACTCTGCCGGGCGATGAACTCTGCCACCATTATTTGTTTTCTCAGAACATCTGCAAGCACAAAGAAATAAAAACGTTTTTACACCATTGATCGGCATTGTTGCGCAACGGGCTCTGCTCTCTCTCTCTCTCTCTCTCTCTCTCTCTCTCTCGTATAGTTTGCGTATTTGTGTAAATTATATATGGTAAATTTGGGGTCACCAAGACGCCCACCGGGCAAGGGGGTGTTATTTATAAAACTTGCATGTACTTCTATATGTATCGCGTTTCTTGATGTCTCGAAATTTCGTCATTTGCGTGCCAGTTCCGAGCGTGTCAACGAACCGCAGTCGAGTTGGAGGTATAATCGATATTGGGGCTTGTAGAAACAAAAAAAAAAAAAAAAAAAAAAAAAAAAAAAAAGAAAACTCATTTCCATTGCTCACGAATGCGTGGCACGAGTACAAACAATGGCAGAGAAGGAAAGTCGCTAACAGGAAGTGTACATTCCAAAGGCGCGAAATAGCAAATAAAGACAAAAAAAAAAAAAAAAAAAAGAAAAAAGTGACCGCGAGGGAAACGAGAAGCATCATCGGTTTGCACAGCTGTAAGCACGTTTCGCTTCATCATGAGTGTATTGGCGTTTATCGTCGCGCAGTAGCCAACGAAAGCGTGTGGGAATAAGCTACATAGCTCCGTGCACGTGACCGCAGAGCACACGCTCTGCCAAGAAGAAGAACGACGCTCTTGTCCGCGATGCTGTAACACTTTATCGAGCGAATTACGTCCGAGCATATAATGCGTGATGTATGCTTATGGTTGTGAAACATCGTAGCCATCGAGCGAGTTTGGATTGAAAACAAAAAAAAATGAAATAAAATAAAAAATTGTACCTATACCACAGTCGCGTATTTTCGTATTTTTAGTTTTCTCCCGAGCGCGTGGAGATTAATCGGTAATCCGCGAGTGTCGAGCTTCGGAAAACTATGTTTAGAAGAGATTGAGCAATGCGCCATCGGGTTGTTGTAAGAAACTTGGAATTTTCTTCCATACGACATACACATCGAGTATTATATGTATGCATACCTGCTCTACAATAGCGCTAATACGCATACACGTACTTCGCCGTGAGAATCTACAATGTATACAACAGATCCTCGCACGGGCTCGTATTATTAACACACAATGCGCTCGATCGGTCAAATTGCAAAATTGACATAACACACACTGGGTTGGGGATGGAAAAAAAAATCGCGCGATAGATCGTTACGACGTGCTCATAGATTCCTTAGGCTTATAAACAATGCGCGCTGTGTTTACAATACCCATGTACCAGGATGCATATACATAAGGCGTAGACATCCATATCTAATAATCGCACGGTTTATCTACACAAAATATTGTTAAAACTAGATACATCACCATCCGAATATCGCGTGCGTGAGATGATTCAAGTGTATCTGTTGTATGGAAGAGAAGGGAAGATATTGCGCAACGGGGCTACCCGGTGACGTCAGGCACCATCAATTTTCGCAAGCGCTTTACCGAGCATGTAATAAGCCAATGTATACTTGCTCGGCTGAGCACTGCACGTACGGGGCGTTATGTCACTGCAAATGTGTGTACACGCGACGTAATGGACCATGGCCTACACCGGTAAGAGTAACGGGCCCTTGCCTCCAGAATTCGTAATGCCCCGCTTGGCATTGAAATCCAAAAGCCGGTGCAGGTTGCACCATGTGGTGAAATGGGTGACGGGTATTGTTTAGCCGAGCGTTCCGCAGCGCGATATTGAAAATCGATGCCGAGCGGTGCTAAGCATAATTTCGCTGAGCAAACAAAGTGCTGTGCATGTATGAGTACTCGTATTGCGCGCATCGGTCGATGATTGTGATGACATGTGTTCGCGGAGACACGTGCATCACCTCGCGATTATGCAGAGCGCGTACACGTGACGCTGATTTTTGCATTTTATTTATTTATCTTCCCCCCCCTGAGGAAGGCACCTTTTTTTCTTCTACCTCCCGTGAAATCGATGAATAGTACCTCAATATCGATCTCTCGGCGCACGCGAGCTTTTTTTCAACCGCACCGCTACGGCAATTATTCAGCCCCGACGTGTGAGTCATGATGAAAAAAGAAAAGAAAAAAAAAAAACAACCCAATAGTCGAGCTTCCTCGGATCGCTCTGGTTTTCACGCACAGGCAGGCGCCAGGAATCCGGGAGCCAGGGGTGCTTTTTCGTACGCGGCAAGTGACGCGGTGAGTAAGTGCAAAAGCTGCAAAAGGGGACTGGCCCGTGAGTCACGCGCCTCGAAGCTTCCGCCCGACACGCGACCTCAAAGACGAGCTCGGGCAATTTTATGGCGGTGTATGTATGCCTTAGGTATACTTTGTTTTTGGGCACAAGATCAATCCCCCAAATGATATATGCGCGTCACTCTGCTACACTAATATTCACGAAGGGGCGTCGATCGATCTCGCAACACGACCTATAGATTAGAAGATTTTTTGTTTTTCTGTCTTTGGCCAACCATTGCGTAACTGTATCGCGCTATTGTGAGTAGAGAGAGAGATAAGCGGCGTCGAGGGAGCACGTCTCCGGAACAACGTTGTTGCCAGAGAAACTCCTTGCGCGTAAATCGAAGATACCTACTACATTGAAAAAAAAAAAAAAAAAAAAAAAAAGCAAACAAAGATCACTGAGACGATACGCCGGGATGCATTGCATTTTGTAATCGGAATATTGTACGCAAGGGTGGGGGATGTAAACACCGCGAGTGGCACACGTGCACGCACGTACACGACCCAGCCGGAGCTTCGTCACGTGTCGGCGAAGCGTGAGCGCACTGCGCTGAAATGCCGATCGATCGATAAGTCACAGCACACATGTAGGAAAAACTAGGATAGATCGGCATCATCAGAAGGAGGAAAGAAAAATCTAGCGACGATATATCGGATGACGCGCGTGAGTATATATATTATGTGTTGCGTGTGTATATATAAGCGAGGAAGAAACGGCGGCCGCGTGACACAACAGACGCGTACATACACACACAATGTGTAATAATGCCAATGCGCTCGCTTGACTCGGCCTACTAAGCGAATGGGACGTATAGGTATATATTACGCGAGTTCTCGCGGCACGTTTTTCTTCTCTCCAAGCCTTTCCTCCGCCGCCCACCAGCTCGTGTCGCCCACCCTCCTTCCTTCGACAGCCTAGTTTTTCCCGGCACGTTTTCCTACGGCCAGCCTATATATACACTCCGGCTCCGGTCGGTGTGGCTAATTGGCTCGGTGGTTACGAGTCTCTTTTTCCTTTGCCCATACTTCGTTTTACGAACGCGCGGGCTATGTGTTAAAGTATTATACAACTGCTACTGTACTTTTCGGCGTGTTGGACGGGGTGAATTGATTCTTTTTTTTTTTTTTTTTCCTCAACATCGTTCGATCGAATGGCATTGCGTAAAACGTCGAAAGGAACCTTCTCCGTTTGCGGCATCGACATCATTCAGAGGCCGTTTATTTTGCAAATCGATCGCGTTGTCGGGCATCGGCTGTACTGTTTGACCTCCCGATTTGTCACGCCACGGTGTGTAACGAGGAAGCAAAAAAAAAAAAAAAAAAAAACTTCCAACGAACGTGCGAATGGACATAAAAATCATCATACGTTGTAAACACGTGACTATAGTCAAGCAAGGCTTTTCCTATATTCAATAGCAGCGTCGTATTGTACAGGGAAACAACGTACCTACAAGTATGCATGCACGTGTCACTTTATTGTGTAACGTTCCAATACTCGCCGATTATATTCCGCGGAGCGATCACGTTTGGCGCGTCTGAAATTCTTCGGGGACACGTGCATCATGAGCGACGGGGTATAGGTACGTGTGTCGGGGTTGCGCAATTGCGACACAGCAACACGTGGTGCCGGTGCTGTGTGTTTGCTATTTTTCGCGCACAATTTTTTTTTCTCCCCCCCCCCTTCCCTCGTGCAAATATACACACACGTATACCTGCGCACGTTGAAAAACTATTGTGTAACCGAGCACGCAGCTCTCAGCTTGTATTTATGTTTTTACACGGGGGAGCTAAACAGAGAGCCTGATAACGATGAAAAGAGATAACGCGCGTGCACAATATCATACAGATGCGTGGACGTTGTTACAGAATTACTTTTTAGCTCACGTTTTCCTCAAATGAGGGAAATCTCGGGAAATGTAGAGCTGTTTCCAATCGGAGAAACCAAGTGTGGAAGCTGTAAGTCGGATAATGGAGAGAACAATATGTCTCCGTGATAGTCGATGTATCGATTAGGTCCATATATATAACCGGACAGCTCCGCGCGAGCTTCGATTCTTCGAGACGCGATAACAACCGACGATAAGGGCGTACAAGTGCGCGCTGGGTAATGGCCACCCGACTACGGGTACGTTGTACCAATTGTGTATACCAGGAGGAGGAGGAGGAGGGGGGCGTTGGCGCGATGATCTCTCGCGGATGATTATTCAATTTATCCTCGCTACTGTATTCTTCTATCTCTCGGCTAGCCGTTGCGTGTTACACACATGTATACGGTACATGGTACACGGACCGTTGACCTCGCGTTACGTGTATATATACGGGGACTTGTCAAGGCTAGCTCGATAACGCTCGGAACAACAATAGAACTCCCTCTTCCTCCTCCGTGGGTATATTGTCCATTGTCCTCGTCGGATGAGTTTTTTTTTTTTTTTTTTTTTTTTTTTCACAAGAGCTGCTGACTAACCATCACACGAGGCGTACCACCTATACCTAACTAATGATTTAACAGTACGTATATACATGACTGAACGATGCCTGACTTTTGTGACTATAATTCATGTGGGTACAATAGCCGAGGTGTACATGTGTAATATAAAAGCGATAACGCGGGCGCATTTCGGTCCACACCAAGTGTACTATAAGGTTTTTCGTTCCCGACACGCGAGTACGCTGCACGTGCTCGTCGTTTTGGCGCGTGACTTATCGCGCCGGTTGCGCAAAAAGTGTCGAGTCGCAACTTTTTTTTTTTTTTACGCGTGTTTTGCTTC